AAAATTTTAAACACAGTAATACAGAAGCACAAATTCCATTAGCCCTCAGAGCAGAAGTGAAATTACTCTTAACTGTAGCCTCAGACAACTCCATGGTGAATCAAAGTTGAGTAATAGCAAAAAAGGCAAGTAAAGTCTCAGTATTATTAAGAAAATAGTTTCAGGGGCACCTGGCTAGCTCAGTGAGAAGAGCATGTGACTCTTAATCTTGGGATTGTAAATTCGAGCCCCAAGCTGGGTGGAGAGATTACTTAAAAAACAAAAACAAAAACAAAAACAAAAAAAAACTTAAAAAAAAAAACCCAGAAAGTAAAAAAAAAATATTTTATCTTTTTAAGTTTTATTTATTTATTTGACAGAGAGAAACACAGCAACAGAGGGAACACAAGCAGGGAGAGTGGGAGAGGGAGAAGCAGGATTCCTGCTGAGCAGGGAGCCCGATGCGGGGCTCGATCCCAGGACCCTTGGATCATGACCTGAGCCGAAGGCAGACGCTTAATGGCTGAGCCACCCAGATGCTCCCCCAAAATTTTTTAATTAAAAAAAATAAATATTCATTGAGAAGTATTTAAGGACACATTCATTCAATAATTCAAGCAACTGTTTTCTACATGTCAGGCACCAGTCTAGATGCTGGGAATAAACAACCCTGCAACTTGTCATCCCTGTTGTCTCTGAATCAAGCCAAGCTGTCAGTGAGCTGTAGACTTATACACTAATCTGGGTCTTCAGACAATGTTCACTGGCATTACATGAACCTGGATTGAGAAAAATTATAAGAAGAAATCTTTAAAAACTCACTACTATTTTATTACTGGGATTGTCCCCCTCACAAAACCACAGGGTCCCCACCATGAAGACCAGTGATAAAAAATTTCACAGATCTAATGATCAAGAGGGCACCTAGGTCGCTCCATCAGTTAAGCATCTGCCTTTAGCTCAGGTCATGATCTCAGGGTCTTGGGATGGAGCCCCTGCTAAGCAGAGAGCCTGTTTCTCCCTCTCCCCCTGACTGCCACTCCCTCTGTTTGGGTGTGCGCTCTCTCTCTGTCAAATAAAATCTTTAAAAAAAAAGAGAGAGAGAGAGAGAAAGAGAGATCTAACAATCAAAAAAAGTTGTACTTCTCTTAAACAACATGGGTTTGGAGGCACCTGGGTAGCCCAGTCAGTAAAGCATCTGCCTTCAGCTCAGGTCACAATCTCAGGGTCCTGGGATGGAGACCCACATGGGCCTCCCTGCTCAGTATGCAGGGAACCTGCTTCTTCTCTTCCTCTGCCCACCCCCCACCCCTGCTCCTGCTCCTGCTCTCTCCCTCCCTCTCTCAAATAAATAAATAAAATCTTAAAACACACACACACACACACACACACACACACACGTGTTTGATTTTATAAACACCATGAATCTGGAAGTTGAGCTTTATTTTCTTCTTTGCTTTGAGAAAAGTCAGAGCCAAAAATGGAACCCATCTTTAGTAACTATACAGTGTTTTCTAGTCTATATACTAACTTTGCCACAGGTTGTTTATTATTACTATTATTATTATTATTTTAAGATCTTATTTATTTATTTGACAGAGAGAGACACAGCGAGAGAGGGAACACATGCAGGGGGAGTAGGAGAGAGAGAAGCAAGCTTCCCGCCAAGCAGGGAGCCCGATAAGGGGCTCAATCCCAGGACCCTCAGATTGTGGTCCAAGCCGAAGGCAGATGCTTAACGACTGAGCCACCTAGGCACCCCTGGTTTATTATTCTTTTCTCATTTCTTCTTTGCCCTAATACCTTATTTTTAATCCTTTAGCCTGTATACATTTAAAAAAGAGGCGAGAAATAAACAGAATTTTTTTTTTTTTTTAAAGATTTTATTTATTTATTTGACAGACAGAGATCACAAGTAGGCAGAGAGGCAGGCAGAGAGAGAGGAAGGGAAGCAGGCTCCCTGTTGAGCAGAGAGCCCGATGCGGGACTCGATCCCAGGACCCTGAGATCATGACCTGAGCCGAAGGCAGCGGCTTAACCCACTGAGCCACCCAGGCGCCCAATAAACAGAATTTGATGGCTGCTTTTTTAACATAAAATTGAGTGTGTACTTTCTATGTGTCAGGCACTATATATACTAAGCACTTCACAACCCTCTAAGGGTTGGACTTCTTTTTTTAAATTATTCTTTTTAAAATTCTTTTAAAAGATTTTATTTATTTATTTGAGAGAGAAAGAGAGAGAGCATAAGCAGGGGAGTGGCAGAGGGAAAAGGAGAAGCGGGCTCCCACCAAGCAGGGAGACTGGCTTGTTTTTATATATTTTTTTAAGTAAGTACTATACCCAACATGGGGCTTGAACTCACACCTCTGAGATCAAGAGTTGCCCGCTCTACCAACTAAGCCAGCTGGGTGTCCCAGGGTTGAACTCTTATTATTTCTGCATACAGCTGAGGGAACTGAGGCTCAGGGAGGTTTATTAACTCACACATGATCTCACAACTTGTCTGTGACAGCGTTAGGATTCCAATGCAGCCCAACCATTATACCTAGGCATATATACAAGTTAACCCAGGAGCAGATAAGGTGAAGGAGAGGGTGGGGAAGTCCACACACATGATGTGACATTTAAGCTAAGAGTCTTAAAGGAGGGAGCTTGCCAAGGAACAAGGAGAAAGTATTTGAGAGAGAACGAGAAATCATGTGCAGAAACCCAAAGCAAAGAAAGAACATAAGTTCTGAGAACAGCAAACAGAACACAAAGTTACATTCAGCAATTTACTCATCGTACAAGATTCACCAGAAAGTTAAGTCATTCAATATTAGACATTTGAGAGGTCCATTATTGAGAATTTCCATGGTCACAGTATTAAACTGTCGCTGGGAAGACAGGCAGAAGTGAAATAAAGGCAGTCTCTTTTGGGGGGGTGGGGGGGCAAAAAAGAGAGGGGGGACAGAGGGAGAAGGAGAGTGAGAATTCCAAGCAAGTGCCATGCTCAGCACAGAGCCCAACGTACGGGCTCAATCCCATGACCCTGAGATGATGACACAAGCTGAAATCAAGAGTTGGATGCTCAAACAACTGGGCCACCCAGATGCCCCAAAGGCAGTCTCTTTGAATCATTAGGTTAAAAAGTTTGAATTACGTTCAATAAGCAATGGGGAACCATAGAAGGATTGAAGCAGAAGAATTACAAGATCAACTTGCACAGCATGATGAGTGAGTTACAGATTTGAGGTAGAGAATGCAGTCAGGAGGCCACAGCAAGAGAGGGGTAGTGGGGTAATGAGAGTTAAAATCTGTCCAAAAAAAACATGTAATGTAAGCCATATGTATTATTTTTAATTTTTGAATAACCATGTTAGAAAAGTAAAAAGAAAAAAAAGTGAAAGTAATCTTAGTAATACTTTTAATATATCTAAAATACGATTTCTTCATATCATCAATACAAAAACTAGTAATAAGAAATTTTACATTCATTTTTTTCATACTAATTGGAAATCTGATCTGTATTTTTACTTAGAATACATCTTGTTTTGGACATTAAATTTTCACTGGGAATACTTGATGTGTATATAAATTTCATAAAACTTGTGGATGAAAAAGTAGATTCACATACCCAAATTTTTCCAAACATACTTGAACATTTTCCAGTCAAATACCAGTCTTTGAACTTAAATTACAATTAATAAAATTCAAAATTCAGTTCCTCAACCATGCCAGCCACATTTCAAGTGCTTTATGGCCATATATGGCTACCATATTGAACAGCACAGACCCAGAATGACAAAGGAACTTTGGCTGGTATCACTTCTGTCATCAGCATTTCATATCTACTTACTGTTGAAGTATTCTGCATGCTAACATCAGTAACTTGCCAAGTATTAACTAAGACAGTAGCCCTACTGGTCACATCCTCACTACTGTAACTTACTTTCTTTCTAGACCACTGCCTACCTCTGTGCAAAAGAAACCTTCTCATAATTGCTACATAGTATCTGACATGTGAAATGCACACAAAGATGTTTGTGGGATAGACAGATGCTCTTCTTCATCACTCAAGCAGTAATTCACTTGTTTGCAGACTAAGTACACTCTCTGTTTCTATTTCCCTATGCTCTGATTTTTTATTAGACTCTATGTACTAAGTATGATGATAAAAGAAAAAGCAGTAAGAAAATCTATTTTCAATTGTATTTTTATTAGAGGCATTACAGTATAATGGTTAAGAGCCCAAGCTCTGGAGTCAGATTGCCTGGATTCAGATGTGGGCTCCATTATTTATTAGATGAGTGATCTTGGCCTCTCTGTGCCTCAGTTTCCTATTCTGCATAATTGTAACAGTACATACTTCCTTGGGGTATTTGGAGATTGCAGAAGATGATACATATAAAGCACTTGCACATGGTATCAGCACACAGGAAACATTCAGTAAGCATTCGTTTTTAAATATATTTTAATTATTTTTGAAAGCAAGCTCTATGCCCAATGTGGGGCTCAAACTCACCACCCTGAGATCAAGAGTCGCACACTCTACCAAAGAAGCCAACCAGGTGCCCCCAAATTAGTTTTGTTTTGTTTCTAAGATCTTATTTTTAAGTAATCTCCGCACCCAACCTGGGGCTCGAACTCACAACCCTGACATCAAGAGAGTCTCATGTTGCACCAACTGAGTCACCCAGGCGCCGCCGCCGCCCCCCACCCCGCCAAATACTACCTTTTTAAAACAAAATTGGTGAAGAAGTTGAAATTATAGCTAACGTAAGAAACTAGGATTTCTCAATTACCCACTTCTCTTTCCCATATGATCTTACACACACACACACACACACACACACACACAGTACAGGTATTACTTTGAACTCCTCAAATGAAAAATCTTGCATGTAGTTATATTCATTACAAAAGAAGCTAAATAAAAAAACTTCATCTACTAACAGTATATAACTATGCAGTACGGCACAGGTGTAGCCAAGCAAATGGAAAAACACGAAGCAAAACAGAAAGGCATTTTGACTTACCTGCTTTTCCGTTTTCGAGGTGGTTTCTCCACTGTGCCAGTCAGTCTACAAACCAAACAAATAAGATGATAACTAAAAGTAACATACAAGAACACATCTCCTGATCCTACTGTGTCAGTCGAAAACTCAGTGTACCACCCTCTAGGACCATAGGCTCGCTAAGCTCATACCTGACCTTACAAACGCCTGATGCTCTGTTTCCCCTATTTACCAAGACCATGCAATCCTGGGACTCACGGTTCCCCCAATGTCTGCTCTGCCCAAACCCTGCTCTCCCTGCTAGTCCCTCACTCCATCCTCAGCTCCTATTCGTCACAGCCCCGCTCCCCAAAACCACCCACCTCCACCTACTCATTGTCTGCCTCGTCACCCCCGCAAGCCCCTCCGACCTCCCCTTTCCCGTGCCCACCCCCTCCGGATCGTGCACTGCCCCTCCGAGCCCCGCCCCTCCAGGCCCCGCGCCCCCCGCATTCCACGGCCCGTCCACGGGGCGCGCTCGCCCTGCCCCTCCCGGCCCGGCGCCCCCAGCCTCACCCCTCGGCGTCCCTTCCCTCACACGCCCCTCTCCTCCGGCCTCGAGGATGCGATCGCCGCCCAGCCCACTCCCGCGTCCCTGGACGCCCCCGAGCCCCCCCCCAAGCCTGAACCCCCCGCCCCTCCCGTCTCGGAGCCCCGAATGCTTCACGGCCCCTGGGCCCGCTCCCGCGCCCCCACCCCATTCCCAAACCCGACCTCGACCCAGCTCCCGCCCCACCTGGGGGCCAGGCGACTCCGCGGCTGCTGGGGCTGCCGGGCTCCTCTGACCATCCGGCTCCTGCTCCGCCGCGGGAGCTGCTCCGGCGGCCGTAGGGCTCGCTCGGGAAGCTGAGGCGGCGGAGGCTGGAGTAGGCGGAGAGGCGGGAGGAGGGCCTCGCGCCTCTGCCTGGCATGCCGCGGGGCCCGCCTCCACCGCGCCTCTCCCTGATTCCCATTGGCTAGAGCTGTAGTGTAGCCGAAAGCCTAGCAGTCGATTGGATGCGCAGGCCGTCACATCCCGCCACCTAGGTTTGGTTGAGACTGCAGGTGGCGGCGGAGGTGCCTTAGAGATTGCTAGTAGGGCAGGGGAGACCCAAGCGCCACCGTGCGCTGGAAAGTAGAAACTGCATCTCAGGCGCCAGACACCTGCCGGCAGGTTCTCCTGGCTCTGCGTCCTGCATTCCACACACCTGCTGGCGCCCCCCAACACTGCACCACGCCAAGACCAACAGCCAAGCACTGCAATTTCCCAAACTCTGGCAGGTGCAACAGTGAGGTAACTCTCCAGAAGAAGCTTCATTTTGAACCACCTCAATGCGGTCCCTGACTCTACATCATGCTGAAATGGTCTCACAGCTCACAGATACCCTTCATAGAAGATCCAGCAAGAAAACTGCAAGAATCTACCAAAATAAAGCATGTTTCAGATGCTCAGTTCTCTGAAGAAAAGATCACAAGCTTGTGGGCAAGCTTTCCAAGAAAGCAAGAAAAAAATTGCCGTGAAAGAAAAATCATCACTGCAAACAGAATTGATGCCATAACTAAAAGCAATGTGTTCCATTTGGAAGGACTAAGTAGACTTGATCCTCGAGTGTGTGCTAACCATCCTGTGATACTGCAGATGATCATAAATTAAATGCCAGTTAATCAATTTAAAAATAAATTTCACTGCATTTTTATTGTTGACAGACCTAAATAGTTTCAGCACATAAGCACAGTATAAGTTATCGTTCCTCTTATACTTTAATAGGGCCATCCTTGAAGACACAGTTCATTAACATATAAAATTCTTCCTTTAATGTACTCTACAGCCTCTCTACATTCCACATGAACAGGTGTTTGTTGTTTTTGGTATATCCTTGATGGAACTGGTAGATCTATTTGGAACTGGAAGGAGGCATCAAACTTTCTTTTGTTATTACGTTTTTATTAGAAAATGTTTTCATGCATCAATAATGTGACAACCTAGAGTAGATCACACCAGCACACTGAGGACAAATCTCTCACTGGCCCTCACAAATGGCAGAAATTAGGATACTAGTTTTTCACAAAACCGTATTTGACAGGAAGGACTTTTATTCTGAGATGGCTCTTTTTACATCTTTCATGTTAAAAATGACATTCCTTCTATGAAATAATGATGACAAATTGTACTGGGGGGGTTCTTAAATGGCTTTGACAAGGGAAAAAATGTTGCCGAACATCTGTTGGTTCCCATAATTAACATTTTATGTAATCCCCAAATCACCAAACTGTGAACAGCCTTGATCTCAATCAAATCAGAAAAGGGGGGACAGAATAATTTGTCAGACAAAAGTGTGGCAGGTGGAATAGGAGTCCTGGTGGGGAGGGCCATCAACTCACTAGGAGACTAATCTTGAAATATCACTTATTACATTTCTTAAAAACAGAGATTAAAATTCTGTGTGGTTTTCAATATCTTTCATAATTGGCCAACTCCTGATATATGGTTCTGCCTATAGAGCTGCTGCGTCCATTTCTTAAGCCTTCCCAAGGGGCACCCTCAAGTCCGATCTTTGTGTCACATGCAAGTTCTAATAATCTCTGCTTCTGTGTTTTTACTAAATAAGAAATGTACATCCCACCATTCTTGTTCACATTTAATCAAACTTCTTTTAAGCTTTCCCAATTACTCCATTCTACATCTCTTTCTTCTCCAAATTTTACTTTCATAAGCTACACTGTATCAGCAATTATATATTACCTTATTCTTACTTCCCACCTACATTTAGGACATTTAATTAAATTGATATACTTATTCAATATATATTTAATATATTTAATTATTTTAATTATTCTATATTTAATATATTTAATTAATTAAAATGATATATTAGAATGAGCCCTCAATAAATGGCAGCTTTGGGCCAGGGACTGGGTACTTTATGTGTGCTATTTTTAATCCTGAGATCAACTCTGTATGGTACTCTCTCTTAGACACAGAATTTTAAGATCCAGAGAACCCAATTCGCGCAGTGTCACACAGCTACAATAACCAATACTGCTTAAGATGACTTAAGAGGGTTTAAGATGTATTCTCATATGCCCTAAAGAGGTTCAAGTTCCAGCTCTCCTATGCAACCTTGGCAAAGTTACCTAAATCTGTTCCTTCATCCGAAGGGGGACAGGGGGTGGGAGGCGGGGACAGGTAATACAGTCATAGAACCATGGTAAAGGTAAACACAAAATAGGGCACATACAGCATTTACCTAAGTTAGCTATTACTGCCTGGCAGAGCTGGGTTTTTTACCTAGATCTGATCCCAGAGCCTATATTCTTTACACTACTGCATAATGCCTCCATGCAATCTTTTCGATCTCATTCCCATTTATACACAAAAGCAGAGTGCTGAGAACAATAGTGGGTGTCTAAGGATTTAGTGGAATATACTTATGTAGCAAGTATTCTTGTTGATACACACAAAAAACTCCCCATAAATTTCATGCCATTTGAACAAAGGAAATATTTGAGTGATCCAAGCCAGCATAATCTCTCATGAGGGTAAGAAAGGCCATCACCAACTGATTGATAAGGAAATAGAAAATTAAGAGGAGGAGAATAAGGAACAAACATTCCCCCCAGCATCTACTGTGTCTGGCACCACACCAGGGGAATTTCCAAATGCTTTTTGGTGTTTTACTACTGTATACTTCATCAGCATGAAGGCGCACGGTACACATATAATTGAAAGTGTTGGGATGATCTCATGATGCATGGTTCTGGGCACTGGGTCCAGGACATAACAATGAAACTTGCCTTTAAAGAACTAGAACACTTAGCTCAAAGTCAAATGCAGAACGAGAGAAAGTTTCACTTCTGTTTACTAGTCAAGCAACCAAGTGAAGGAATAAGCATTTTTTAATTTAAATTGTGTTATATAAAATGCTAACTTGTCGGGACAGGCTACAGACTATGCATTAGATAAAAGTTTCTGACAAACTTCCTATAATCTTTTTTATTAATTTACACTGAGAGAATACAGCACCTTTCATCCAAAGAACTGAAGGTGCTTTACAAACATTAGCATTTAAAAAAACAATTACATTTAAAAATCTGGATTCGTGCTGTTAAATCTCTTCAACTCCAGATACACAATTTTCTGGAGGCTGATGGAAAGCAATTCTATTTCTGACAACGAAAGAGGCTCAGAAAGAGTTCGGATTTGCTTTCGCAATACAGGCATTTTCAAAACCTGGTGTTGGGCTTACAAAGCAAAAACACACAAATCTGAATGCAATGAACAATATTTCAAACCTTATTTCAAAAGCAAAACCCAGGGTTTAAGACGTCACAATCTTCCAACAGTTCTGGTCATCCAGATGGAACAGATGCTGATGCAGGTTGCATATTAGATGTGCTCTTGATCCAGACTTTTTAGGATCACACCCAAATGAACACATTTAAAGTAGTGAGATATTTCAGGAAAAAGCATTAACCTATAAAAAGCTAGCCAAGAGCATATCGGGAAAGGGAGTAATTGGCAATTAAAAGTAGACAGTTCTCACTAGAGCCTAGGACACTTTATTAGAAACCAAGTATTATCATCAGCAAATAAAAATAGTTATTACCCCCATTAATACAACATAAAGGATTTTACATTCAGCCTACATACAGGGAGTAACAGAGCCTCCTGCCTACAAATCTATGACTTCCAAGTATCTTCCACTACATGATTACTCTGTATCGTACATAGCCCTTACTTAGTAGAGGGATCCAAATGTTCCTTTTAGGCTTACAAAGTCCAATACATTCACTCTCTCTTCCCTTTACATGTCTAATAGTAAAAACTATTTTTTTTCATGCAAAAAAGCCATTACTCAGCTGAAGAGAAAAAAAAATCAGACAAAATAGAGATGGCAGTTAAGGAATGGACAGAATATTATTGGCACATGCCCAACTAGTGACAAACAAATGCAGTACACCATGACTTAAAAATAAAGGTCACATTACAGGGATAACTAAAACAACTACATCATTCTAAGCTAAGGAGTGTCAAATGGGAAGGGAGGGCTGAGGTTACCGATTTTATTGGTACAACTTAAAAGCAGAGGAGAGCAAGCACTTAAATACAATTTATGGTAACAGAAAAAAACACTGCAGAGAGCTGTTCAAAGACCACACCAAGTTGTCTGCATCATTAATTTCCAGTGTTTCACAATTAGTAAAATACATAGCTACATATCCCTGTAAGATAAAAAATACCTTTCCCCCTGAATTACACTGGGGTCAGGGCAGTAACACAAAGCTACTGACCCAACAGTTCAAGTGTGTGCAGCAAATGTCTTAGCCACTTCTTTCATATAGCTATACAATTAAAAACTAAACAAGGAGCTAGGTGGTTGCAGAAAATAAAAATCAAAATATTATTGTGCTCATTTAATAAAAGAAAAACCCTGATGAAAAATTATGTGCCAAGAAGCTTAGACTATAAAGTTTTTATTGCATTTTTAGGTAACCTGGAAGTTCTTATCCTGAAGGGGAAAAGTTGGTTTTCAAAACTACCTGAACAGATACTAAAGTGCTTTATTAATTGGCTGGCTTCACAAAGATTTCCTGGAATGACAAAAATTAATTATAGTAGTAAAGGGATACCAACTATTTCACAAAATAGTGAATTCCAACATCATTTATGACCACAGTCATAAGAGACACTGGAACACTTGTCCTTATTAAGTGGACAGTTGCATATAAAGAACTGATCATCACACCCTTTGGATATTCAAATTACTTAAACAAAGCCGAAACACGGTATCACAGACCTTTACAAAATAGGACAATTTGTTTCTTTCTACACTCTTTAAAATTTGCTTCAAATTACAGTTCACAAATACAAGAGTCCTGACTTTTCAACCTTTCCAGTTGCAGTTAAAAAATGAACACTTTCTA